CGATGCTAAAACTGAACAGGCTCCTCCTCCTCAACTGTGCGGAGCTGCCCTCCCAGGCATGCAGACGCCTCGTGGAGGTTTTATTACCTGGGTCTTTTAAAGATAATTGTACATATCAGGCACCATAAAATTGTTTGTACGTCCATGTTACGCGTGACTAGCGCTAGGGTATGGTTGAAAATCTTCATTTTTGCTTTTAATGTTTCAGTGTAACAGTACTGATAGAAGAGCTGTTTTTAAACGCATGTGAATTAACCTCATTCTGGGCTCCTTGGAGGAACTGGGAGTCCTGCTTGATTTGTATGTACCCTCCAGGAAGGAGACAATAAAAACTTGGACTAAACATTCATCTCCTTTTGATCCTTATTAGGGCAAGATGGTGTCTGCCAACATCTTCCTTGACTTGCATAGATGAGGCTTCAGTCTATCCTAGCCTGGTCTCCAGAGCTGGGCACACACTGCAGCCAACAGTTAGCTGCAGGAGCAGTTTGCTGCAAATGCTGAATTGAGTATTTTATCTCCGCAATCCAAGATGTCTTTTGATTGGGCACAGGTCACGTGCTATTGCTTCCATTCCCTGACTGACTGACTGACTTATAATCAGGTTTCTGCTGCAAATGCTCACAATCATGCATGGATTATTTAAATGTTGATGTTCCCTAGTCCTACAGTGCTATTCAAACCCACATAGATCTGTGGGTTTGAACTTGACTTTCTGCCAGTAGACTACAATATTCACTTCATGGTTTGCCTTTGCTGCAAATATTCACGCCAGCAAACGGATTTGCTAGAGTGTTTAAAAGGAACACAAATGCAGTTAAATGAAAGTTGTTCAAAAAGTCTCTGGAATGCAGGGCTTTTTCCCCCCCAGTACTTGCCTAGCTGTAATTGTTTAATTTCAGAGCATGAGAAAGTTCTTCCAGATATAAGGATGCTAGGGCCTGGCTATTTGATACAGAGAGCGGTGCCACCTTATGGTCTAACTTGTTTGTGCAATACAGTGGAACCTCAGCGTTCCGAACACCTCGGGAATGAAGGTTGCTCGTAACTCTAAAATGTTCATAACTGAACAAAAAGTTACGGTTCTTCTTTCAAAAGTTTACAACTGAACATTGACTTAATACAGCTTTGAAACTTTACTACGCAGAAGAAAAATGCTGCTTTCCCTTGATTTTTTAATAGTTTACGTTTAACATGGTACTGTGCTGTATTTGCTTTTTTTTCCCCTCTCTCTGCTGCTGCCTGATTATGTACTTCCGGTTCCAAATGAGGTGTGTGGGTGATTGGTCAGTTCATAACCCTGGTGTTCGTAACTCTGAGGTTCTGCTGTAGATGGATGCCGCACAATGTATTTAATTTGTATTAAATTAAAAACACCCAGGTCGCACTCCCAACATCTCGACTGCAGTTAGTGCCCTCTAATTCATGTTTGGAACTCACTTGAGCGTTGCAAATGTTTAGTTTTTAAATTGTATTAGACAAATGCCAGTATCTAAGGATATTAATCTAGGTTTTTAAAAGATTAAAATGGCACCATGTGTGTCATGGTTATTACCAAAGCTGTTTTTTAGGGCCAGGATATCAAATTTTGGTTTTATTGCTGCTAACAAGGATGGCAGTAAAAGCTCCAGAATGTGGGATCCAGGGAGCAGTTTACAGCACAGGTAGGTGTGGTGCCTCAACTGGGACCTGGGTGTCTGAGGACAGCTCAGTCTCTCTGGCCCATTTTATTCTTGACCTATCTGCTGGACATGCCAGCAGGCCTGGCTATCACAATGGCTGGTTTCGTGAGGTAGTGTTAAATGGGCAGCTCTAAACAGAGGCTACCAGTGCCGTGCCTTTCCTAGGAATTCCCATACTGTGTCAAACCCATAGTCACTCTGCCTCATTATCTTCTCTAACAGTGGCCAGCACCAGATGCTTTAGAGGAACGTGCAAGAAATCCCATAAGATGCAGTGAGATAATCTTCTCGTTAAGGAAGTCTCCTCCTCACATCTAACCAAGATTGGCCTAAGTCCAGAAGCATAAAAATTCTTATTCCATCGAAAACTTTTTTTTTAGTATTGGAACTCTGAATATTTTGGTTATCGATATAAATGTCAAGTTCCTCCATGAATTTTGCTAAATTGTTGGCTTCAATACCCTGTGTCAGTGAGTTCCACAGTCTAACTTTGCATTATTGATTTCCTTTTGCCAAGCTGCCGCTTATGGAGATCAGATGTTAACATCTGATCATTGCTGACCTGGGACAGCTTTGTACAGGTGGTCACCTGTGGGAAGGTTCTATATCCCGTTAGTACAGTACAATTTTGAATAACAGGATTAAAAAAATTTGACAAAATATTCAGGGGTGGGGGAATTTCAGCTCTTCCCCACGCACCCCAAAAAAGGGGGCCATGGCAAATTGTAGGCAATGCACATTCCTTCTTTAGCTGTTAAAAGCTATTTTAGCCACAGCCATGGTGTCAGGTGAATTGACTGTCCTGTCTTACTAAGGGTCGCAGTAGAGTTCAGCATTCTCCATCTTCCTCCTCTGGTATCCCAGGATTCTTTCAGTGACTCATGCTTTACTGAATGGCTTCCAATGCCATCTAGTTTTCACACTGAGCTCGCCTTATTATGTATTCTGCTCCATCTCTCCCCGCTCCTTGCAGTAGTGTCTGGAAATAAGCTGCTGGTAGATAATGGCTGTTGTGATAGTGAATGGAACTGCTTATAACTGTTGGCAGCACATGGCTGTTGGGTCACTCAGCGCGGTAATAATAATAATGTAAAAATAGTAGCTGCTTTTCCCTCTGACTTTTTGTAAAGCCCCTCATATATGCACTGACCAGCTGGCTGGGATGAGATCTAGGCCCTGTGGTGGGCTTGGGCTGAAAGCTGTTCACTTCAATCAAAACTTCCTCAGAGTAGAGTGTTGGGGGGGTTTTTCCCCCTAGGAAGCCAGTGAGTTTTAAATGTTGGCTGCCATTTAATGGATGAAAATAATGGTCTGTGTGCACCAAAGTGCAGCCAGTTTTCTTTCAGCTCCTAGGTTCCTAAGGTGGGAGTCATGACCTGGTCCAAGGGCGTGTGATCATCATGCTGTAGGGCTAGATGGGCGGAGCCCCGACCATACTTTTTTCTGATGTAAATGGGGATTGTGATCTGGTACAGATGGAGCCGCTACTCTGCCGCTGTATCTCAGTCCAAACTTGCAACATCCCCTACTGGTCCAGCCCTGGGCCTCCATGCAGTCCTAATGCACCTCTGGCCTGAGCTGCCTCTAGCCTCTTTCGCCCCCAGCTTCGGCCAAGCGCGTCCGTCGACCCTCCCGCCCTGCTGTGCCGCGGCTCGTCGGAGCAGCCGTCGGGGCCCCCGCCCCTCCCCGCGTAGTGCGGGCCACTAACGAGTCTGGGGGCCAGGCGGAGCAGCCAGTGGGGCCCCCGCCCCGTGTAGTGCGGGCCACTAACTAGTCTGGGGGCCAGGCG